AAATCTTTACATCTTTGACTTTTCTCACACCCACATCCATTCTTCTGCAAATCCTGTTTGCTCTGCCTTCTTAATATAGTCAAACTTTCATCCACTTTTCACCACTCTCACTTTGCCATCCCAATCCAAACTACTATCCTTTCTTGCTTGGAATATTGTTATGTTCCTATTCAGTCCCCCTTGATTGCATTTCCCCCCTTAAGTCTATCCTTAACATAGCAGCCAGAGTGATCCTGTTGTAGCCTAAGATCATATTCCTCCCTGTTCATAAGCTATTAATAATGGCTTCTGATAGCATCTGAGAAAAAGCCAATGGAGAACAAGTACTTATGATCTGAGCCCCTATTCTCTCATCTCATCTCTTAAAACTCTCCACATCGCTCAGTTTTCTCAAGTCACACCAACCTTCTCCTTGTTCCCTCTGCCTGTGACACAGTTTTCCTTAGATAAAATCCTCATGGCTTGTTCCTTCACCCCCTTCATTGTTTCCTCAAGTACCACTTTTTAGCCATCCTTGCAATAATACTCCTTATGCTTGATTTTTCTCATAGCATTTGCATTTTCTGTCTCTCATTGGAATGCAAATTTCAGGAGGGCAGAGATTTTGTCTGTTCTATACATTGCTATGTATAAAAACTTAGAACACTCCCACAAACACCATAGTGCTCAATAAATATTTGTTGAATGAATGAATTTTAGATCACACTCCAACTCTGGCTTAGAGATAGGATAAATTCAGTGGTGGACATATTTGTGCTTATGCGAGGTCTGACAGTTAAGTTCATGAACTTGTTGCAGTGATGTTGCTAACCTTTTTTCATAGCAGAGGAATTATTTATTATGCATTTGTACCAACTGGACAAACAATGAACTAAGTTTGGAAGTGCTAAAAAAGGATGCGTGAGAAAGTTAGACAAAAACGACCTGAACTTTTTGCCAGCAATTCATGGCCCTTGCTTCACAGCATTGTACCAGCTCGCATGGCACTGTCAGTGAGGGAGTTTTTAGCCAGTAAACAAATAACTGTATCGGAACACTCTCCCTACTCACTTTATCTGGCCCAAAGGAAATATTGAAAGGAAGACATTTTGATGACATTCAGGACATCAAGGGTAATATGACAACAGCTCAGATGGCTATTCCAGAAAAAGAGTTCCAAAATTGCTTTGAAAGGTAGACTAGGCACTGGCATCAGTGCATAGCTTCCCAAGGGGAGTACTTTGAAGGTGACTATGTGATATTCAGCAATGAGGTATGTAGTACTTTTTCTAGGGTGCATTCTTGAACTTAATTGTCAGACCTCGTATAATGCCTGACTCAATGGATTACAAAACGTGTAATTAATCAGTCAATGGAACATTTTGTTGAAGTGATTAGAAAGTATAACTTCCTGGCTTGCGCTGTTTTGATAACATTTACCACCTTGGAGTATATGAAGGTTATGTGTATATAAAGGAATTAGCCTCTTCTTTATAGTTTACAGTCTTAAAGGTGTGGGACAGAAGTGTAAATTGTGTGGGAAAACTTGGAAAGGATATTCTTAAGATAGACGAATGTAATTGGTAAATTGTGTGTAGTGTAGAAATTTCTAGGATTCCATCAGTATGAATTCCTGGTCTCCAAGAAGAGTGGAATATCTTAATATTAATAGTTTAGACTGGAGGCATATATCTTTTGTGTGGCTATATTTTTGAAATCTATATAAAAATTATGTGCTCACCCTAAAAAAAGTATGTACTCCAGAAACTTGTGTGTATTTCAGGGTATTTATGCACCCCAAGTGGTTACATAGACTCCTATGAAAGCCTTTGGAGTAGGTGGGATAGGTAACCAAGGGGAAAGTTGAAACAATCTGATAGAAGAATTTGTAAGAGTGGAAAATTTTCACTTTCATATGTAAGTAGTCGAAAATACAAAATAATATTCCAAAAGATAACAAATGTGTTATCAACACATACTGAAAAGTGTAAACTTTCAAGTTATTTGTAAATAGATTGCTTAGGAAAGAGAATGGTTTGAGGTGCTAGGGAATAGATAGCCTTGGTAAAGAAAAGGTATTAAAGATAAGAATATACAGTTCTCTGATCCAGATAAACAATTTACCATAATAATCATAGAGGAAATAGTTCTTATACATGGATGAAGTTGTAAACAGAAAGAATCTGAGAAATCAATAAAATTCAACTTCCCACACCTCTCAGCACAACCCTTGTGACATGTTCATCCTAGCCATTTGAACAAGTCAGTGGTTGGAAACTGGAGCTCATAAAAGTTACTAACAATTTGTTCCCCTTGTTCCTAATTTAAATGATATTTGGAGATACAATATAAGTTTCATTTTGTTTCCTTATCATATACCTTCAGATTTTTCAAAATTGTTATAATTTTTTTCACTTTTTTCTATAATATTTTAGTCTCTTATCCTTTCCTCACATGACTTATTCTGCAGATCTACTGTCATCATAATTGTCCCTTATGGACATGATGCTGTTTGTCATTATTTGTGAAATATGGTACCTAAAACTGCATGTAGGATTTTGTTTATGAGGTTTGACAAGTACAAAGCATGTCAGATTTATTACTTCTTTCAATCTGAGTACTGTTGCTGATTTAGAGCCAGATTGCATCAGCACTTTTGGGAGCCATAAAAATACTAATAACAGCTAAAATGTATTGACCACTTACAATGTTCCAGGTTAAGTGCTAAGCACTTTATATGCATTATGTTCTTTTATCTTTATAACAAGCTTATGAGGTACAAACCATTGAGTCTCATTTTAAAGTTAGGGAAATGGAGCTTAGAGATGCTTACTTGCCTAATGCCACACATCTAGTATTTGTTGGAGGTAGAATTCTAACTCAGGTCTGCCTGACATTAATAGCTGGACTTTCAGCCATTGTGTTACTATATTTATATGCAATGTCACAATTTCAGACTCTGCTGAGTTTGCAGTCAATGAAGTGTGGAGGCTTTCACATCAATTGTTATTAAATCAGATACTTTCAGTTTTTTGGGGGACAGGCATATAATTTTTGCCTTTACAAGCATTGTTACAGGTTGTTGAGAGTAAACTCTTTTTTCTCTCATCCATATAACTAATTTTTCATAATACATTATATTTCTCTTAGCCTTAGTACTTGACAAGATGCCTGTAATGGTCTTACAGAGAGTTTTTGCACATAGTTGGTAATGATCTGCTAATCAGGAATCTTTGGTATTAGTTTTTCTACCGTCTTCAAATTCGTCTCACAGCACTGTCAATCCGCCTGTGTTTCTTTATTTTATCCATAAGGCTTTTAATAACAGGTGTAGAAAAAAGTATTATAGTTTCACTGATGACTTCTTTTCAAATTAAGAATTTATAATTTTGTTTCCTTGTTAGATAGCCAATGAAACAGTGCATCTCAACATTATTTTAGAAGTTTAGAGAAGAATTTTGATGATAAACCCAAGATTATAGTTTCTTCTTCTTTAAACTGTTCTTTATGTAGATCATTATAACTAGATACTTTATATCTTATATCCAGAGAATTATTTCACTTCAGACAGTGGTAACAATTATTAACATTTACAAGATATGTCATAACTGGCAAAGTCTTTTGAAGTACGGTCTCATTTATTCTCTCCACTTGTATGTGAAATAAGTGGCATTCATCTTGCCATCTTTATACTGAAAAATAAATTTAAGATCACACAGCTTGAGAATGATTTAGTTCTCATGACTTAGTCTTCTAAGCCCACATCCTATATTCTTTCTATAATGTCACACTGTCTCTCAATGAAATAAATGAAGTCATTAGATAAGGAATGGCTAATAAGGGTTGAAAATATAATGTGTTTTTGGTAATTTAATAAGAAAGTTGAGAATTCAAGGTTGAGCTAATGAATTTGACTGTATCCATGAAGAGAAAAGAAGAAAGTACCCAGAGATAATAAAAAAAAAAATCGGGGGCACATGTAAGAATGATAATTCTTACAAATTTAGATTTTTGATGTTGAAGAAGTCATTGAAAACATTAACAAAAGTGTTTCTTTGAGAAAATATTGGTATTAAGGAGGTTTATGCCATAGACTTATTTGAGAATGAGCCATTGATATAGATTCCTTTAAGTAGAGCTTTTTAATAGGAAAATTATAATATAAAACACAGATAAATTTGAAGACCTTATTTAGGTTGGATAGTTTTGTACTGTTAATCACCAGTTCTCAAGCATTACATTTGAACTTAAATCATCTTATCATCTACTTTCTAAGATAAATAAGTTCAATGATGGTTGAGTAGCGCTTAAAAGTATGTGTTAAATGATGTTGCAGTGCTGTAAACTTAGAAGAAAGAAGCTTCCCTGTAGAGAAAGGAAGATATTTATTATGTTAGAGAAATAGTTTCTTTAGCTTTTAAATTGACTAATATTCGTATTCATTTATAATTTAAAGTTAACACAATGTAATCTTCAGGCTTTTGTTTAAATTAACAACATTCCTAGTATGAAAAACAACTCAATTTTGTTTAAAAAATAAATAAAATATAACCTTATTATGCCATTACATGTCATCAATGTTCCTTTATTTTTTTTGCTTTATTGTGAAGAAGCTTTTAAAGTTCTTATGACTATTTTACACATGGAGAACATAATGTAGGTAAAATGAATATTTTATGTATATTTTGCAAAAAGAGCCTTATGTGCATATGCAAAATATTCTAACTTGAGCACATATTTTTCTGGTTTTCCTAAATTCATGATTATAGCCCACGTGCCATCTTGAGAAAGGTTTGCAAACTCGAAATCTTTCATAAATATTTACCTCATGAATTACAGTGGTCAGCACACTTGACAGTGTATTCTTAATATCCATATAATTTTCACTGATGAAGTTTGTTCAGGAGTTTAAACAAAGAGGAAGGAGAGAGAAAAGAAAGTTCTGTTGACTGTATGGTAGGATTAGAATTCACCTTGAACCTTGTGTTGATTATTATTTTCCATCATTTCTTTTTTTGCAGGAGTGTCGTGGTGCCTGTGAAGAAGCCACCTCCAGGCAGTTTAGCTGTAACCACAGTAGGAGCCACTGCTGCTGGGAGTGGGCTGCCGGCAGGCAGTACCTCTAATATATTTGCTGCTACTGGAGCTACACCAAAAAGTATGATTAATACAACAGGTATTGTCCTTATATATTTTTGTGATACCTCATCTTTTTCTTTCTGTTTTCTATACCTTCATTTTTCTGCTTAGTTGGTCTTAAGAATAAAATACCCTGATTATTTAAGGTTACCTTAGTCTCTAAGAAAGTTCTGCTTTGTTACTAACCTTTCAGAATTTGTCAGTAGTTCTAGGTTGTATTTTTTTAGTGGTCATTTTAGAGGACACCATTAGGTTTGGTGTCAAAACATAGTGCTAGTTTCTTCCATAGTGAATTCAGATTGCTGATAGGTATTTGGGGAGCAAAACCAAAGATAATTGGAATGCTGAAGTTTGATATGTAATAGTAAAGTGTATCAAGAATAACAAGATATATTAAATAATGTTAGTGACAGAAAACAGATTTAGTGACATTGAATCCTAATGTATATTTTTTGCTAAATCCTCTTAAGGGAAGGCAGAGCTCCCCTAAGAACCTTGACGATAAGAGCTTCACCTTGATAAAAAAATGCATGTGAATAAGAACCATTGTTTGACATTGAATTAATTTATATACTTAGATTACAGTTGTATCCAATTCATTGTCCAACATTTTCCTAATGATTCTAGGGACAGAAAATTTCAAATCACTACAAATTTTAAAAGCCTGCCTGAAATTGCCTCATTTTTTTTTGTAAATTTCCAGAAATGTTCCTGTTGATTAATAGCTAAATAAATCCTTACCCAAATCTTTGTGATTCCATTTTAGGTATTTATACAACGCAAGATGATCCCTGACTTTTCTTCCCTGACTATAGTAGCCTTCTCCTCTCCAAACTGTATAGCCTTGAACTTTTCCATCTATTATCATTACTTAGATTCTTCCCATTTTTTATTAATTTCATAGCTCCTCTTTGTGCTTTTTGTATATTCTTGTTTATCATACCACCTGAGTCTGACATTATCATGAACAATACATTTATGGGGTTGTAATAAGTAGAATGTACTCTTATCAAGCACATTTATATGAGCAAATAAACATCATTAATGACATGTTAAAAAACATAGAATCTTTGATTTATTTATATTATAAATAAATATTTATGTATGGCTTCTCTGAAGATTTTATATAAAGTTTTTGTATTCAGTTTACAATCTTAGTCTTTCTACTCATTTTGCTTTCTAGAAATAGGCATAAAAATGTTTTTCTTTTACCAAAATGTATACCAGAAAAAAAAGTTAAGATTTTTGAAATATGCCAATGAAGTAGAAAAAAATCTGCATTTGGTATTCTTTTAAATAAGTACTTATTTTTAAAATATAGGTAAATGAAAAACTAAGTCACCTCTTTATATGAAACAAGTTATTCGCTTCTAATTTCCATTTCATGAATTAATAATAAACATAGGAAACGATGGTAGCAAGAGGTCTAGAAATACAGTATAAAGCATATAATATTACAATGAAAACCAAAATGTAAGTAATAAACCTCCTTCTTAGCAACATATACATGCATGCACGCGCGCGCGCACACACACACACACGCACACACACATTTTGTGGGCCAACATCTAAATTGGGCCCATTGTCCAGTTTATATTTTGGCACCCAGACTATATAAGTGTTAGAGAGGAAATCTTAATAAGCAACTCAGTTTTATGGGAATTAGTGTAAGATAAAGTAATATTTAGGAACACTAGATGTCTCTCAACTCCACAGCTATTTCATATACTTACATGGTGTATCATAGAAAAAGTCTGTTCTAAAATGAACCTTCATACTGTTGAGGAGAGCTCATTATTTTTAAATCAGGTACAATTATGCTTATTATAGCCCTCCTTAAGCAATCATTTTATCAAAATAAGCTTTTGGTGCTGCAGTGCCACAAATTTAAGCTCAATTTATTGTAAATTATATCTTAGATGATGAAAACTAAAAATATTACAGCCTAGCAATAAAAAAAGTTTTTCACATCTAAATTTGCATTGTTCTATCAGCCTCATTTTATCTGAAATTATTTTCATTTGTTGATGTCTTTTATTTATACCCCATTTGTAATATGTAGTTTTGTTAGATTGATATAAGTAAATCAACTGGATTTTATGCAACATTTATTATTTATAATTACACAGTTATTAGTGTATTAGTGGCCAAATGATTTTTTAATTATGAAATTCTGTTTTGAAATTCAGATAACTAATTCTTCAAAATCAGATAGTAATGATGTACTGAAAATTATCTTGTTCAATAAATTTATGTTTAAGGCTAAACATTATTATTTTGGAAACAGGTGCAGTGGATTCAGGGTCCTCCTCCTCTTCCTCCTCTTCTAGTTTTGTGAATGGTGCTACCAGCAAAAACCTTCCAGCTGTACAAACTGTTGCTCCAATGCCGGAAGACTCGGCCGAAAATATGAGGTATACATTGCTATTTGTTTGTTTTTTTTTTCCTCATTTCACTCCCCCCTGCCCTCTCAGATGTAGGGAAACAGTACAAAATGAACACAAAGGTATAGTTAAGAATTCTTCAGAATGGCTAAATAGGTATTTCGTGACTATATTTCATAATTGCATTGTTTTAATATTTTTAGCTAGTTATTCATTATATAAAAAGCTGGTATTATATTTCAGACTCCAAACAGAGATCCTGAATGATTTTCAAACATTGACTCTGCTGAATTTATAATCCATTGTCATATAGCACATTACTATTTCCAATAAAGTAAAAACATGCACAAATGGTAACAAGATAAAATTGGGCATCTTTGGGGTAGTGATGAAAAGTTTAAAATACAAACTTTCAAAATAAATCTTTAATGTTATAAATAACATATAAAGTTGGAACTTGAATAACCAACATTATCTTTTTTATTGTGATTAATAGATAAAAATGGTTTTTAGTAGCATATCAAAGAATATTCCTAGAAGAGACTGGGCCACATTCTGGGAGTTAAATTTCACACACACAGGCACACATGTATGCATATGTATTCACATTTTAGTAGCGGTAAATAACAGACAACTTTTAATTATCAAAAATGTATTTACACGTTGTTGTGGCTGTATTCACAGTTTTAATTTAAGTCTCACACAAATGCAGAATGTAAAAGCTCAATGAATGAATGAACAATGCTAACATTGGGTCAAGAAGTGGAATGTTATTATGTACCCAAGAAGCGCCCACACTGTGCTCCTTTTCCTATTAGTATTCTTGCTTCTCTTCAATTTACCACCCTGACTTTTAATAGTAGGTTGGTATTGTTTTTTGAATTTTATATAAATGGAATTGCACAGTATGTATTATTTTGTCTCTGGCTTCTTTTGTTCAACATTATGTTTATGCAATTCATCCACATTGCGTGTAGCAATAGTTTATTTTTATTCCTCTGTGGGTGTACATTACAATTTATTAATATATGTTACTGATGAACATCATTGGAATTTTTCAGTTTGGAGCTATTACAAACAATGCTGCCTTTTACATAGAAATGCTGCTTGTACATTACCCTTGTGTTTACTACACATTTGTATGCATATCTGTTGGGTAAATAACTTGGACTAGCATTGCTGATTCATAGTGTTTGTGCAAGTTTAATTTTACTAGATAATGCTAATTGGTTTTCCAAAGTGGTTATGTAAGTTTACTAACTCAGCAGCATATGAGTGTTACTATTTCTTCATTTCTTTACAATACTTAGTAATGTCACTTTTACATTTTAGCCATTTTGATATTTTTAGTTTGCATTTTTGTGATGATTAATGAAGTTGAGCACCTTTTTATATACTTACCGGTCTTTTGGTTTTCCTCTTATGTGATTTGTTTGTTGAAATCTTCTTCCCATTTAAAAAAAAAATCTTGAGTTGTTTGTTTTCTTATTAATTTATGAAGGCTCGTTATGCATTTTGAAAATGAGCCCTTAGATATATATAAATCTTCCTTCTCCCATTCTGTGGCTTTTCTTGTCATTATCTATTTATTGTAGATGGTCTATTTTGATCAACAGAAGTTGTAAATTTTAATGGAACTCAGTTTATTAAGTTTTGTTTGTTAGTGCTTTTTCAGTTATAGATGATATCTTTGCCTACATTTTTTGCACTTTATCTTCTGGCTGCTTTTTATTCTTTGCTTTTTACATTTAGAAATAGCATCCATCTGGAATTAAATTTTGTGAATTTAGTGAGTTAGGGAGTACTGTGGATGTCAAGATGGCCCAGCATCATTTATTTTAAAAACTCTTTTTTCCTCATGCTCTGTCACTTTTGTCCCAAATCAAATGTCCCTGCATACTACATACTGGTTTTGTAATCAGTTTTGTCCCATTTGTCTCTTTGTGTATCTTTGTGTGATACTGTCATAATTAGCTTTAGCGTTTTAATAAAGGTGAGGATCTTGTTGAGCTAAGTCTTCTCACCCTGTCCTTTTTTTAAGAAAGTCTAAGCTATTCTTGATGCTTTGCATTTTCATTTCTATTTTAGAATTAGGTTGACAGTATCCAAATTAAAAACAACTTGCTGGGTTTGGGCAAGGAAAGGAAAATAGAGATTTATTATTGTAAGTGGCATTATTGCTTTTATAAATGTCTTTCAAGATGTTGACTTCCGAACTGTGGACATCATACATTCCTTCCATTTCTTTAGTTTATCTTACATTTTTCCCAGTAAGCATTTTAGTTTTCTGTATAGAAGTCTTACATATTTCTTATTTTATTTATTCTGAGGATTTTAATATTTTGTATTTGTATATTTTTTCTATAGCTAGTTTTCAAATCAGCTTTATTGAGAGCATTTGTTTATGTTGTTTAAATGCAATAAAATACTCATTTTGATTATACATTTTAATGAGTTCTGATGAGTTTACACATCCATATAACCTCCACCACAATCAAGATAAAATATATTCATCACCCCAGATAGTTCCCTTATGCCCATATGTAATTCAACCCATCCCTGCCCCAGGCAAACACTTATGTGCTTTTCAGTATTGAAACTTAAATTTGTATCTTCTAAGGTTTTGTATAGATGGAATCATACACAATATGCATTTTTATTTCTGTCTTATTTCACTCAGCTTTGCAGATCTGGAGATTCATCCATGTCTTTTTGTTTATATAAGTTGTCCATTCCTTTTTATTACTGAGTATTATTCTATTATATTGCTATCCCACAATTCATCTATTCACTTGTTAGTAGACATCTCAGTTTTTGTTTTGTTTTGTTTTTTCAGCTTGGGGCTTTATAAATACTGTTTCTGGACATTTGATCACATGTTTTGTCAAAGACATATGTTCTTGGGTAAATAACTAACAAAATTGCTGGTTGAATAATTAAGTATTCTGGACTTATGATGATTAGACTTAGGTTTCCTTGACTTTATGATGGTGAGAAAGTGATATGCATAATAAATTGTATGAAGCATTCAAAATTATAAAATAGGCTTTGTGTTAGATAATTTCACCCAATTGTAGGCTAATGTATGTGTTCTGAGCACGTTTAAGGGAGGCTAGGCTAAGTTTTGATGTGTTGTAGGACAGGTGTACCAAATGCATTTTATTTTAGACTTAAGGTATCTTGAAGTTAAGATGAGTATATGGGGATGTAACCCCATTGTAAACAGAGAAGGATCTGTATATGCTTGTCTTTATAAGAAACAACTGAGCCTTTTTGCAATGTGGTTGTATCATTTTATATTTCTGTCAAAAATGTATAAAAGTTCCCTTTGCTCCACATTCTTGTCAACACTTGGTATTGTCAATTTTCTTAATTTAAGACTTTATAATGGCTAGGTAGTAATATCTCATTTGGTTTATTTCCCATTTTCCTAATCATTAATGAGAACAAGTTTTTGTTTGTTTGTTTTTTTCTTGTGCCTGTGGCCAGTTGTAATCCTTTGCTATTTTTTTGAAGATTGGGTTGTTTTTCTTACTGAAATGTAAGAGTTCTCTATATATTCTGAATATATGTCATTTGTCAGATATATGCATTACAAAAAATGTTTATCCATCCTGTGGCTTGTATTTTCATTTTGTTAAAAGTGTTAAGAATCATTGTTTATAATTTTGATAAAGTCCATTGTTTCAAAAAATCTTTTCTTTTATGGTTTGTGTCTTTGTAGCCTAAGAAATTTTTACCTACCCCAAAGTCATAAAGCTATTCTCCTGTATTTTCTTTTAAAAATTTTGCTGTTACAGCTTTTATGATTGAGTCTATGATCAGTTTTCACTAATTTTTGTGTATGTGACAAATAAAAGCTTGGCTTTTCTTTTTTTATCCATATGTATATCAATGTTTCAGTACCATTAAATTACCTTGTCACACTGTTTAAAAATCAATGGACTACCTATGTGTGGATCTATTTCTGGACTCTGTATTGTTTCATGATCTATATGAGTATGCCTATCCTTACACCAATACCCTACTGTCTTCATTACTACAGCTTTATAACCTTGAAATCAAGTAGTATAAGTCTTATGGTTTTTATGTAAATTGCTTTCACTTTTTTTAGGTTATTTGCATTTTCATGTAAAGTTTAGAATTGGCTCATCAATTGCCAAAAAAAATTGTGCTGAAATTTTAATTAGGATTTTTTAAACCTTTAATTAAATTTAGGAACAATTGATATCTTAATAATATTGAATCTTTCAATCTATGAACATTGTCTATAACTCCATTATTCGAGATATTTAATTTCTCTCAGCAACTGTTTGTAGTTTTTCATTGTAAAGGTCTTATATTTTATTTATTTTTTATGTCTTTGATGATATTTTAAATTAATTTTATTTTTTACTTTAAACTTCCAATTTTTTAGTTAGAAGCCAAACAAAAATGAGTAAATACTGTGTTTCTACATATATAAAATGCAAATAAATCTATGGAAACAGAGCAAATGGATGATTGCCTGTGTCCATTATACATCAATAGATCTGAAAAAAAAAGAACAATTTTAATTGTGTGTTGGTCGTATATAGAAAGACAAGTCCTTTTTTTGTATATTGACTTTGTATCCTGCAACTTTGCTTAATCCACTTAATTTTAGTAGCCTTTGGTAGATTTAGACTTTTCTCAACTCATTTCCTAGTTCTAGTACTACCTATAGTTTCCTTATTTTTTTCTATGTGTAAGATAATGTCTGCTGTAGTTTTAGTGTCAAACATCCAGTGTTTGAGAATTCAGCAATTCAGCCATCTCTACCTTGAAATTTCCTTCCAGGAGAGTTTTGTTTGTTTGTTTGTTTGTTTATTTATTTGTTTGTCTTTTAAGATTTTATTGGGGAATTGGGGGAGGAGAACAGCATTGGGGAATTGGGGAAGTGGAGCAGACAAGTTGCTGTTCTTTTGTTCTTCTGTTTAGTTGTGGAGGACATCACTTCAGTGGCCTATGTTGGTATTATCATTGCGCTCTTCCCTGGTGAGGCACTCGCT